ACTGGCAAAGTAGAAATTCTGTATCAAGGGACCTGGGGAGTAGTGTGTGATGTTTGGTGGTGGGATATACGAGATGCTCACGTGATCTGCAGAATGCTTGGTTACGAGGCAGCTGAACATTTAATTCGGTACATTGAAGGAGAGATACCAAGAAGAACGCTCTTAAAATATATGGCATGCAGAGGAAGAGAAAAGTCGATAGCAGAGTGTGCTCACCTAGAATGGTGGAATGTTTATTTATTTTGCTCAAACAAACGCCTAGCTGGTGTGATTTGTCAGACAAATGAAGGTAAGAAAGACAAATATCTAATTTACTCTAATCATTCAATTATCATCACATCAAAGGCAATAATCTAAATGGTTCATTTGTTGATCAGACAATAGCTTTAGTCAAGCTCTACTGATTCTATTTCAAACACTTTTTTAAGTGTCAGTTGTACTTTTACCTAAATGATGTTGGTACCAATCCACAGATCCTCCACCAGTTCAAGTTCGTTTAGCTGGAGGAAGGTTAGCCAATTCTGGTCGACTTGAAGTCAGGTACCATGGTCAGTGGGGTACTGCATGTAAATATGAATGGGATATGAAAGACGCTAAGGTGGTGTGTCGTATGCTTGGTTACCCTGGAGTACAGGAATACATAACCACTAACTTTACACCAGTCAAGGGTATAATATGAGTGAGAAAAAAATGGTTGGTTGTACAGGAAGAAAAACGTCGATTGCAGACTGCAGTCACAATGGATAGCGTAATGCAGGCTGTATTCACAGTAGTGACGTTGGAGTGACGTGTATGAAGGGTTAGTCATATGTATATGATATGTAAAGGTTCTAGATTATCTCGAGGACTATAGTCAAGATGCGTGACGTTCAAGTTCTAGATTATCAGTTTATTCAGAGTTCAGTCAGTCGATGATTTCACGATTCCACGTTAGTGGATTAATTTCACGAGTTCAGGTTTTCACGATTTCAGGTTTTCACGAGTTCAGGTTTTCACGAGTTCAGGTTTTCACGAGTTCAGGTTTTCACGAGTTCAGGTTTTCACGAGTTCAGGTTTTCACGATTTGCTAGAATGACAATTGCAAAACCTTCTATGAGAATATATTCTGTCCAAATAAAACGGAATCAATATACTTACACATATGTGCTGTCCTGAAGATAAAATCATTCGAAATCCGGATTCATTTTTTAAGAACAACAACTTGTCTACTCTTCCCTATAACAACTCTGTCCCATTCCCACGAGCTCCTTCTCTCTCTCTCTCACAGGGAACCCGCTTCTATCATGCATAAGCTATAACATGATATGTTTTTGAAATCTAGTTTTCTGTTTGTACATCCATGTTATTTAACACCATGTAAAGAAATGTCATAAAATAAAATGAAGATACAGGGATTTATTAAACTATATCAGTGGTTAAGAGTGGAAAAGGCACTTTATTTTCCAAGGATGGGTATGAAATATAYATTTTTTTAAAGGTATTCCATGTGTTGCACAATTCTGCACCATGAGAGGAATTTTTGAATCTCCATTTAAATATGAAACCTAAATGGAAAAAAGAATATCACCGTGCTCGYCAAATCCAAATGAAGTAATACGCTATGCTGAATACATGCAAAGTAAAAACCTAASAGAGAATAAGATCGATCAGTATGTAGTACTCATGAATTTATAAATTTCAATTTAACCAATTTTAGAACGCAACGTCTGATGTATAGGTGTTCGTCTAGTGGATGACAAGACTTCTAACGAGGGACATGTAGAAGTAAGATACAAAGGTACTTGGGGTACCATATGCCATGATCTTTACTGGGACATACGGGATGCTTACGTGGTGTGTCACATGTTGAATTACTCCAAGGCAGTTACAGCAATAACTGCTAGCGTCAAAGGAACTGGTCAAATATGG